TTCCCCCCGTCGCTCCAGAGGAAGCCGCCCTGAATCAGCCTGTGGTACGGAGGGAATGTGCCATATATCTGGCCTTTTTTTTCTGCAAAAGCTGGGGAAGAGAAAACCAAGAATATAAGCATTTTCGCCATCAAGACACCAATTTTGGTCAGAATTTGCAAGAATTTTGGAAACTGGCGTGTTTCTTGGCCTGATTCTCCAACTAAGCAGTTGGTACCACTATCAGTTGCTCTTTGACCAGTGCTGCATTGCTTAGTGGTCAGCCTGCTGGCGATCCTGACGTTCGTTTCATCTCGTAAAATGACCAACAACTCTGTGGTTTTTTCGAGAAAAGCACGGGCCAAGACTTCAGCGATTTTGTGTTACCCATGATATATGTCCAGAACATAATGTGGTACTTTGTTGTGTATTGTATGGATTGCTAGTACATTTAGAAGATACAATTATAGTAGTGGTACCATAAATTATATCTCAGTGTTGTTTGGTGTACGTCAGTACTGTAGCTCCAAACAATTTGCAGTAAATTTTTAATTTTGCGATAAATTTTTAATTTTGCGGTAAATTTTTCAATTCTGCGGTAAATTTTTCAATTTTGCGGTAAATTTTTTTAGGCTGGAAAGAGAACTTCAAAGCTGTCAGTTGGATGTACGTGAAATGGGAGCACGTACAAAACGTGTAATGGAATCAACCGATGAAGCAGCGGCGTTAACGGAACCACGTGAAAATGCCTTTCTAAAACTGCATACTGATACCAAAAAGCTTCTCCAGGGTACGACTTAATACATCTACAGTCCTGTCCGAATTCGCAGAGTATAGCCATGAAATTACTGAAATTCATAAATCGGGATAATGAAGACCTCTCTGGATCCGCCTATGGATTAGCATCACTTATCATCTGCTGAAAAAAGGCTATCGGATACCGATATAATCCTTGATTTTTGGCGCATTTTTAGCAGAGAATATGCATTTTTTTGTGAGAAAAAAGGCATTCAGAATTAGTTCGATTAGTACCACGTGCCATCTGCCCCAGCAGGGCTGCCCGGATATACCATCTGATAAGTAATCCCTGATTTTTAATCTATAAAATTTTTCCGCGGCAACCGTCACACTGACGAGGTCCAGCCAGAAAAACTTTGGCAGGCCTTTACACGCTTACCACGCCTTCCCGGGGGACGGGTCTCAGTGCCTTAGCACCTACTTGGACGGGGAACATCATACTATGATTTCAGCGTTCTAGCTTCTCAGATCCCCGAGAACAGGAATGTATGCGACTTGATGGACCGAAACATTCCAAATTTTAATCTTATTTTATTAACATTTCCATTTTTATTTATTTTTTCATAATCCTTTATAATTGCAAACCAGCAAAATTCCAATTTAAAATTTTTGCAGAAATGGAGAAATCACTGAATCAATTTGGTGCGATCTCCGGCTCAACA